CCAATAATTAATTAGAGACAAAGGTTCCGTTTGATCCGAGGAGAGAAAGCGGTGGGGTCTTGTTAATGATCCAGCTTCTCCTTTCTTTTCGGAACACGCCCAGAGCGCCTCGCGGGTGCGCGGGCCGGCGGTTAACTTTGCGAACCCAACGTTCGGTGCAGCTCCTCAGGCCCGGAAAACACGCAGGCGTGTTCGACGTGGGTGACGAGAAGGAACGTTTAAAAAATACTCAAATGGCCCACAAGAAGTGAGAAAGGGGGGGGAAAAAAAACCCCAACCAACCAACCAACCAACCAACCCACCAACCCCAAACTGGAAAGTCCTAAAGGGCAGAGGGGTTGTGGTGGTCAAACACGTGCATCGAAGGTCCTGATTGCAGGGTAAATGCTGGGTGACTGCTCTGGGCTCTTGGCTGCCAGGCCCCGGGTGTTGCACGTAGTAACTGGGGGCTTGGAAAAAAAAGCTACGAGTGCCAAATGTTCTTGGGAAGCGAGATGTGTTTGTGGACGGAGGCGGTGCGGGCGGTGGAGCCCCGATGAGATTTTGGGGTGAGGTTTGCCACTCAGCTTTACTGATCGCTGGTTCCGTTGGTCACTGAGGACAGGGCGGGATGTTGCTCTTGAAAGAACAAGGAATAAAGAAAGGACTAGAGCTTTCCAACTGTTTCATAGAACTGTAAATTGAAGGGGGGAAAAAAAACCAAAACAAACCCCACAGTCTGCACCAATACAGGCTGGGGGATGACCTGCTAGATAGCAGCTCTGCTGAGAGGGACCTGGGAGTCCTGGTGGACAATAAGCTGACCATGAGCCAGCAATGTGCCCTTGTTGCCAAGAAGGCCAATGGTATCCTGGGGTGTATTAAGAGGAGTGTGGCCAGCAGGTCGAGGGAGGTTCTCCTCCCCCTCTACTCTGCCCTGGTGAGACCCCACCTGGAGTACTGTGTCCAGTTCTGGGCTCCCCAGTTCAAGAAAGACGAGGAACTCCTAGAAAGAGTCCAGAGGAGAGCTACCAGAATGATAAAGGGACTGGAGCATCTCCCCTACGAGGAAAGGCTGAGAGAGTTGGGCTTGTTCAGCCTGAAGAAGAGAAGACTGAGAGGGGATCTCATCAACGCATACAAATATCTTAAGGGCGGAAGTCAAGAGGACGGAAGCAGTCTGTTTGCAGTGGTGTCCAACGACAGGACTAGGGGCAATGGATGCAAACTGAAACACGAGAGGTTTCAGTTGAATATGAGGAAGAACTTCTTCACTCTGAGGGTGGCAGAGCACTGGAACAGGCTGCCCAGGGAGGTTGTGGAGTCTCCTTCTCTGGAGATATTCAAAGCCCGCCTGGATGAAGTCCTGTGTAGCATGCTCTAGGTGAGCCTGCTTTAGCAGGGGGGTTGGACTAGATGATCTCCCGAGGTCCCTTCCAACCCTTGCGATTCTGTGATTCTGTGATTCTGTGAAAACTATTTTATTCGGATTTAGACAGGAAACCCAGCACTTGATTTGAAGAAGCATTTTGTACCTAATATATGTTGAAGTTGCCAGAAAATGTGTCCACTTCTTTCACTGAGGTCAATAGCCTTGGTTCCACAAACAGAAAGTTTGTTGTTGGGTTTAATGCATTTAGGATTAACTCCTAAATGTTTTGTTCCACTGATGTGTTTTGAAAAACTGGTGGCTTAAAATGTGTTTGGCATCCAGTTCTTTCAAGAATTAGTTAATTCACAGGATATTAGTATTTATTATGTAGGTTACGGTGCTCTCCCTAACACATGATTTGTCTCAAATATGCAAAGAGTTTGTGACTTAGATCTACTGTTCCTTCTTCTGACTTCTTGGTATCACATTATATGGTCAATAAATTACTTTAAAACATTTAGGTGGTCCTGAAGTTAAAAAAACAAGATAAGAAACACCTCTGCAGAGAAATTATTCTTATATTATCAAAAAAAAATGAGGAAGAACTTCACTCTGAGGGTGGCAGAGCACTGGAACAGGCTGCCCAGGGAGGTTGTGGAGTCTCCTTCTCTGGAGATATTCAAGGCCCGCCTGGATGAAGTCCTGTGTAGCATGCTCTAGGAGAGCCTGCTTTAGCAGGGGGGTTGGACTAGATGATCTCCCGAGGTCCCTTCCAACCCTTGCGATTCTGTGATTCTGTGAGTTGCGGGCCTCAGTGCCGTTGGGATCGCCGCTGCGCCGGGTGGCACGGTGCCCGTTTGCACAGAGCTCCGTTTGTAGCCGCTTACGGAACGCTGTGCGTGCCTTAAGGCATAGGCTTCAAAGTCAGCCTTTGATAGGAGCGGCGTGCCAGCATAACCCTATTGTGGGGAAAAATGCTATAGCTCGCTATTGCCGCGACCGCGCTACGCCTTACGGAGCTTGGGATAAATAGAGACGCTGTTGTCCGGCACGCCGAGCGCGCCTTTTGGGTTCTGCTCCCTTTATGGCCTTGAACAAGTCGCTGGGGTTACCAAGGTTTGGTTTATCCTCTACCAGCAGAGAACGGGGACAGTTCCCCCCGTGCTTAGTCGCTAGCGCTGGGGTCAGAGAGAGCGTCTCGGAGATTAAATCGCGTTCTTAAAGCGCTTTAAAAATCAAAATGGGGTTGTGCAAGGAGCGCGAACAGCTTTGCCCTTGCTTTTTTAGGTTCTGCTCTTGGAACTGGATCCACATGGGCAAGTCTTTGTGCCCGTGCAAGGTGCTGTTGAGGTAAGTGGGATTTTGTGGGCGCTCTGGTGGCTTGCGGTGCCTGACCTGGTTGCTGACCCTGTGTGCTCCCTTCTCCTGATGTTTCAAGGCACAGACCAGAAAAATACGATAAATGTTTATGCCTGTTTCTTGATGGTGTTGGGCCCAGTTCTGTATGGGAAGACAGTGTGTCTGTTAGTCAGACAGAGGGGCCTTAGTTGTCCAGCGCTTTTAAAATGTCTCTGCCTCACTGCTTTTTGTTTGTTTGTTTTCCATTTCTTCCTTTTAAAGCAGCTTGCAGCAAATACTTGTTCCCATGTATGAAGATGTCCTTAGTGGACCTAGGGAAGAGGTTGCTAGAAGCAGCTCGCAACGGCGAAGATGACGAGGTGCGAAAGCTGATGGCGAGCGGTGCTCCCTTCACCACTGACTGGGTACGTCGGAGCCATAGACCTTGGTTTTCTGGGTGAAACAGGTTGCGTGTGTGCTCTTTAGGGCTGAACCTAAAGGATACAAATGGGAATCGCAGCAGTAAAACCAGAGCGTGGATCGGCAGAAAATGCATCTCTGAATTTCTGTGGTGGAGCGGGTTCAAGGTGAAGCACTTTAAAAGCCAGGACCTTCCTGAGGCGAAGATGAATTGACGTTTGTGTAAAGATTGATCTCTGCCTGATGCACGAGAGCACGATCACGAGAACCGTGCTGTCCCGGGCAGCGAGGTACCCAGGGTCTGGTGCTTTAAGAAGTCCCGACCCCAACAGCTGAGATAAAGGATGAGTCAAATCAGACTGGAAGAACTGTTAAACCTCTCAGCAGAAGGAAGTTCCTTTAAGAATGCTTTATTTAATTGTTTAAACTCTCTCAATCAAGAAACTCATCTCTGGGTTTTGGGCGTTTTTTTGTTTCCTTAAAAAAAAAAACCCAAAACCCTGAAAACAAACCGGCCCGTCCTGGATTGGAAAGGAAATAAAAGCTTTAATGAAACCGAAGAATAACAGTTGGCCAAACGGGGAACCAGAGTGTAACAAACAAGCTGCCAGTAGCCGTTCTCCATCACCGTCTTCATTTCCTAACTTCACCAGTCTGTTCAGCCATAACTTTGCGAGACGAAGAAATTAACTGTATCGCGAGGTAGCAGAGCCTAACGCTGTCGTAATGCTGCCCTTGGCTAACTGTGGTGAAATTACCTGTCGTGATATAGAAGCGGCAGAGCTGTTCTGCTGTGGTTTGGAAAAGCAGCTCAGTGGTTAATGGATGGCACAGTGGAGAAAGTAAAAGCATGTTTGATCTTCAGGTGGTCAGATAATGTAAAGATTCCTAAAAAGTTGAACGTTTGTTACTGGATGTGCAGCCCCTTATTTCCGAGCGGAGAAAAAAAGGTTAAATTAATTTCTTCCGGAAGCTTTGTCATTTTAATTACTGCCGGACATACAGGGGGTGATCACTGTGCTGTGAACTGACGGTGCCTCTTCTGAATTAACACGCAGCTTGGGACGTCGCCTCTTCACCTCGCTGCCCAGTACGGCCACTATTCGACAGCGGAAGTGCTGCTTCGGGCTGGAGTCAGCAGAGATGCCCGAACAAAAGTGGACCGGACGCCGCTACACATGGCTGCGGCTGACGGACACACTCATATTGTAGAACTGCTAATTAGGGTGAGTACAGTAAATTGGGCATCGCTTTAAGCTGGTCTGAACGGCCCTCGGAGTTAAGCGTTGGTGTCCCTGTGTAAATGCTAGCGCAGGCCCCACCTTTAAGACGCCGAGAGGAGACGGCGCCCAGACGGGTAACGCTTATTTCTTTCAGAACGGGGCTGATGTAAATGCCAAGGACATGCTGAAAATGACGGCTTTGCACTGGGCGACAGAGCACAACCACCGAGACGTCGTAGAGCTGCTCATCAGATACGGGGCTGATGTCCACGCTTTCAGCAAGTTTGATAAATCGGCTTTTGATATTGCTTTGGACAAGAACAATCCAGAGACTCTGGTAATGCTGCAGGTAGGTTGAGGAAGGAGCGAGTTGCTGCACCTGTGCTAGAGCGAGAGGGATCCTCTCGTGTCCGATGGGATCGTTTTCTGTTTGCAGAGAGAACTGGAAACACGGAGGTGGATGAGGTTTGTTTTATTCCCAGATCAAGCGGGGTGTGTCTGCTAGGGCGTAGGGGGGGTGGGGTTTTATCGCCATGCCTCTCGTGAGGTTGTAGCATAAGTTGCCAAGTTTAGGTGGCGGTTTTTCACTGCTTTTGAACGTGCTGCAGAGAGAAATAATCTGCCTCAAATGTTTCAAGGATGCTGGATACTGCAGCAGGCGTGAGGAACGTATGCCTGACCCTACTCTCTCTCCTAGGAAGCAATGCAGAACCAGGTGAACGCTCATCCAGAGAGAACGGATCCCATCTCCAACACTGTGACTCTCACCTCGCCGTTTATCCTTACATCAGGAGACGTTCTCAATCTCACTAGCCTCGTCTCTTCAGGAAACACCAAAACAACCTCAGGTTAGGTTTTATGGGACCTTGAGTGGGAAAGCCTTGAAACAAGTTCCTAAGGCAGCTTACCGGCAGAGGGCAGATGGTCTTTTAGTAGAGGAAAAGTGAAATACAGCCAAGCACGCCCAACTGCTGCTTCCTGCCCCGGAATATTTTTGCCGTGGAAGGTAGCAAAGCAGATTTCTAGCTGATGTAAATAAAGGTGGTTCCACTGGAAGTGGCAAAGCTCTGCTGAGCTCAGCTGTGGGTCTGCTCCGGGGCTGTTGCAAGCAACAGAGCTTGAGAAAATAGATTTGGCCGATTGCAACAGAGGAATAAGGAGAATTACTGCCCTTGCCAAATCCTGAGCACTGCAGAGTGGTTGGGGAACGGTTTACTTTGCTCTTTACTGGCTTCAAGAGCTGAAGGAATGCTTTGCAGTATATAAACGTTGAGTAAGGAAATTGCAGAAGCAGCAGGTCCATTGGGTATGCAGCTTGCTCCTTATTTCTTCTGTCCCATATGTTAGATGGGAAATCATTAGGTTCCTTGCTGTTCTGTGAGCCTTATTTTGGTGGGGAAAACGCTTTTAACCTAAGGCTGAGCGCGAATTCTTTGTGTGTAATTCCAGTTTTCATAATAACTCTTAAAGTGAATTTTCTGTATTTGGAGAAATCCAAACCGTTGTTTCTTTTCAGTCTCAAGGAGGCTACTAAATGCAAGTTTTGTGAAGCTATTTGGCCTCATCCTGCAAACACTTCTGCATGTGAGTAATTCTTTGGTTAGTGGGACTGTTCACATGCGTGAATGTTTGCTTATTAGCTGGAGAGTGCTTTTAAAATACCAGATACTGATCCTCTGCAGTCCCACCCAGACCTCTCTGCCTCTGCCTGGCCGCAGCGACTTCAGCAACACTCCAGACTTGCTCTCAAAGCTTTCAGGGCTGCTCGCAGCTTTGAGACAAACAAACCCTGATTTAGAAGGGGAAAAACACCAAAAGTGTTCCTTTTCCATCTGTGAGGAAAAGGCAGTGTGACTGGTGCACAACATCATTGGTTGAGGATATTCCATGAACTCAGAGGGGCATAAAACTTTGGAATTTTAACATTCCAGGTGACGCTTTGGCCACGGTCGGCGTCGCTGTCTCTGCAGAGGGATCTGGCTCTGCTTGGAAGCCAGGTAGGAGTCACAGAGGCCAACGCCCTGCCAAAAGGCTGTTAGAAAACTGCTGATTTCCACCTGAAACGCACTCACAGCCTGTTCAGACCTCCTGGTGCGAACGCAGCCCTTCAGTCAAAATCATTCTTCTTTTTCCAGCACCTCCATCCCTTTGATGTGGAAATCAGCCCTGTCCCCTCTCTGCGTTTGTTTTGCCAGGCTAAGCGCAGCAGTCGCCCCGAATCCCTCCGTGGTGTGTGGGTGAGCGGCCGCAGGCAGCGCTCCAGACGAGCCTTTGGCAGCGGCCCTGTAAATCCCCGTCTCTCGCCGCGCTCTCCTCGTGTGTCCTGCAGTGCAGTCGCCTTTTTCAGTGCCACAGCACAGCGGTAGCTTCTTGTCCATGTGTGACTGGGCTAAAATACCCTGGGTTTTTCCCCCTACGACACTTCAAGCACCGGTAATTGCTGGTCAGCGGGAAAACAGCCGGTGTCTCCTGCGCTGGGCCACGTCAGGAGGGTTTTTTCTCATTTCCCACAAGAGGGCATCAGCGACTGCGCCTTCGTTATAACAAAAATCTCTTATTTAACACTTACAGCTAATAATTGTTCTTGTCTCTCTTAAATTCCTTATGTCTTCCGTTATTGAAAAAGGTTTTAAATGGGAATAAGCGTTTTTGGCTGGTCTGCAGGAGCCTGGTTAGTCCCTAGGCCTGTGGTATTTTCACGTGCCTGGCCCACGGCCCTTTGAAAGTACCATTCTTTGAAAACAAGTCCCTTGGTAACCTTTGTAAAATCAGGAGCCGGTGAGAAAGAGCAAAAAGAGGTTGTAAGGGTTAAGGCAGGGGAACTTTAGATGAACTTCCCTTTGTGTGCTTATAATCTATTTATCTACGCTGGCAATGAGGTACAGGATCTTTTTTTTTTTTTTTTTTTTTTTAAAGAGGAATTGCAGGTTATATGCACCGAGTTTGCGCCCATTTAGTTAATTTCCTGTTCCATTCTTATTAAGTCTGCCTTTGAATAGGAATTACTATGGTCAATTGGAGGAAGAAACATTGTTTTTTTGGAACCCAGAAGACTTGCTTATCTCGTTCAAATCAATACCCCATCGCAGTAACCGTGGTCTTTCCATTACTGAACCTGAGAGGGGAGGAAGAAAGGACCCATGTGCCCAGGACGTGGAAATCGAGTGATATACGTAGCCAATTTCTGTGTTTGAGCAAAAGGCTCTGTTCACTGACTTGTGCTAAAACGTTTGGTCTATGAAGTAATGCTGAAGACTTGGAGGCTTTCCCAGCTGAGGAAGAACTTAGGTGCTGTAATTTACTCGTAATAGCAAACGAGCTTAATCTATTCCTTAGGTTTTGCAATTTTTGAAAGTTCCAGTACGACGCGAAGCCAAGTAATTCCGTGTGTAGCAACCGCTCTGCGCAACATCGCAGCGGTCGGACTCCAGCACGTCTGCCAGTGTCATCAGGCAGCGTGGCTGCGTCTTGAAAAGCCGTCCGTGCCTCCAGATCGAAGCTCGGCCTGCCAAGCGGCCCGGCAGACGGCCTGCCTTTCTGCAGGTCTTACAGTAAAGCTGGAGCGAGGCGGTTCGCGGTTGCTGTTCTTTTTGTTAGGCAATTCAGAAATAGCTTAATGGAATATTTGCTTTAAATTCCATTAAAATGATCATAAAATATTTGGCGTGGGTACAGGCTGTCCTGAAGTAGTATCGAAGCCCCTTTTTACAGTTAGTAAAGGCGCCTCTGTGCCGCCTCCCTTTCTCCATTGACCATTGGGAGCCCAGAAAATACTTCATACCTGATGCCCCGATCTCTAGGTGACAGAATCGTTGCCTGCTGACTGCTTTAGTCGCTGTTGAGATACGGCAGGTCCTGACACTCCTTCACTTTGCCCTCCTCTTTCCCAACCAGGTGACTCGCATGCCCCTACCGTGCAGTTTTCCAATTCAACGACCTCTGTGCTTGCCACGCTTGCGGCCCTCGCTGAAGTATCGGCACCACTTTCCGACTCGGATGGAGACACAGGTAGGGAGCACGGGTCAGATGCCGATTCAAGTTTGTGCAAGTAGTTTAACCCAGCTGGCAACTAAGCACCATGCAGCCGCTCGCTCACTCCCCCCCTCCCTCTGTGGGATGGGGGAGAGAATCAGAGAAAAGAAAAAAAAGTAAGACCCGTGGGCTGAGATAGAGACAGTTTAATAAGAGAGAAGAATAACAATAGTGATAATAATAGTGGTAAGAGAATATACAGAATATATAAAACAAGTGATGCACAGTGCAATTGCTCACCACCTGCCGACCGATGCCCAGCCCGTCCTGAGCCGCGATCACCCTGCCTGTGACCGACCGACCGACCGACTAACCCCCCCGAGCGTGACGTTCCATGGTCTGGAATAGCTCTTTGGTCAGTTGGGGTTAGCTGTCCTAGCTGTGCTGTACTCCCAGCTTGTTATGCCCCTGGCCGAGCAGGAGAAGCTCAAAAAGTCCTTGAGTAGTCTGAGCACTACTTGGCAACAACTAAAAAACATCAGGGTGTTATCAACATTCTTCTGGTACTAAATCCAAAACACAGCACTATGCTAGCTACTGTGAAGAAAATTAACTCTATCCCAGCTGAAACCAGGACATAGCTTGTGAGGGAACTGGAGGAAATTTTAAGGTGTGGAAGTGAATTTTCCTTCTTTCAGAGTAAGGAAGAGATGATAAATATTTGTGAAGCGGTGGGTTCATTTTGTTTGTTTATTTGTTTAATCACAGTTCAAACTTAATTAAAAAACCAGCAACTGTTACCAACAGAAGTAACTTAAATTTATTAACCAGCATTCCAGCCCTAACATCGCAGTGCATTGCTCTTGACGGGCTTTAACAGTTACATAAAAAAAGAAAAAAAAACCCCAAATCCATGCTCCAGAGCATGGGTTTGCTTTAATGCATAAATGTAGATAAATATTTGTTGAAGAAGGAAACTCTCTGACATGTTTTCTGTCCCCGGTTTGCTGTAAAATGTTTGGTAATCAACAAATGTTTTGAGTCTCTTGAGGCTCTGGTAACTTTTTCTTACGGAAAGGTTTGGGCGTTTTTCATGTTTGGGTTTTTTATGATCTTTTATGGTATGTTTGTAGAGTGTAACGTTTGACCTTTAATTAACTTCAGATTTAGAAATCTGATAAAGTTTAAATAATCCTTTCACCTTGGAATTCATTTATTTTCCCCAAAGCTAAGCGTTTTTCCTAGAATCTAGAGACGAGCAATTTGGCTTCTTTAAGCTGCTGGTGCCACACCGCCGATTCCTTGACCTGCGGTGCTCGACTGTTTTCCTCCTTGGCACCCGGAGCGCGCGTAGCAGGTCAGCTCCCCTCTGTTTCCTGCGCTTGCAGCGTACGCGGGGAGCAGGATGCAGCTGAGGGTTTGCAGCCCTGATTATTTGTGCGAGCCGTAAGTCACACAAAGAGTGTCCCAGGGAGCTGAACCGGCCTGCGCTCATCCGGCCCGCCTGAACGGCCTCCTCGTGGTTGCTTCGGCCGTGCTCGTGTGTGCGGGGCTCGTGAGGCACAAAGAGGTTTTTGCCTCTGGTTTGTCTTCGTTAGAGCTGGGGGAAGGATCCTGGAAGGAAGCTGTGCAGAGCCAGGTCTGCTTAACAGCTGCCTCCAGCTCCAGGCTTTTTAATTTCAATTAATATGCTTGTGTGCTAGTCCTTATTAATTTACACCAAAATGCTGGGTTTGCTCTGGAAGGCTTGTGTTGCAAAGGTGTAGTGGATTTTGTTTTCTTTCCCCCACTAAGTCTTACTGTATTTGCAGATTGGTTTTCGTACGAAGGCGCCCCAGGAGTCTCAAGCTGCGCGCTTGAGCTTTTTCACTAGACTTCAGTTTCTATTCAAGGAAGAGAGAAGGAAACGCTGACTTTGTTTTGGCACTTACTTTATTTCTCAAGGTAAGACGGAGGAAATAGTGGAAGCGAATTCTGTCGATTCGGCCATACAACAAGTGGTTGGCAGCGGAGGGCAGCGCGTCATCGCCATTGTAACGGACGGAGTTCCCCTGGGCAGCCTGCAGACAGCCATCCCCACCCGCGGCCTCAGCCAGCCCTTCATCCTCACCATGCAGGATGGACAGCAAGGTAAGGAGGAGCTGGACGCGGAAGGCAGCGCTGAGGTTTAACTTCAAAAAGGAAAAAAACCCAATGGACGTCTGAGAAGCCTGGCGAGCCCCGCGAGGCCGGCGGCTGGTGTGCTCTGGCTTGTCGGCACCATGGTGGAACAGATCCCTGCCTGACTGCTGGGCTCCAGGAGGGGTTAAAATCTCTCTGTGACTTACG